GAAGAAAGGGTCTTTTCTCTTTCTTCCTATGTTGAAAATTCTGGTTGCTATGGCAACAAATAGACTGAAAATATGGCAATTTTTACACATAAACTGGATCCAGTGTTAACGCAAAAAAAGTAATAGAAATATTTTTATGAAGCTTGTAATATGTGTAGATGGCAGTCTGGAGATTATACCGCGTCTTTTTTTTTTCTTCCTATGTTGAAAATTCTAGTTGCTATGGCAACACAATAGACTGAAAATATGGCAAATTTTACACATAAACTGAATCCAGTGATAACTCAAAAAGTTACTGGAAATATTATTATGAAAACTTGACATATGGGTAGATGGGCAGTCTTGAAGATTATGCATGTCTTATCTGTTTCTTCCTATTTTGAAAAATATTGGTTTGCTTTGGCAACAAATAGGCTTAAAACATGGCAAATTAACAATATTTGTGATTAGTCAAAAAGAGCTGAAACTTTTTATGAAATTGCATCTTTAATTCCAGAGTTATCTCCTCTTTAAGAATTTTGCTTTTTAAAAATGTTATATTTTGGTAACAGGGATGTTTCAAATATTAACTTTAGAGTGTCCTTCAGTCCGTCTGTCTGTCTGTTCATAAAAACTTTTTCCTGTGATCACTTTTAAAGAACATTTCCAACAAATTTACTTAAAATAGAGAAAAATTTACACATTAGAATGCTGATGGGGTTCTATCCGGTAGGGGACTTATGGATTGCTTGCAATACTATGATAATTGCTTGTTTCCTTTTGTAGGGTGTATTCTCACGAGGGTTGAATATAAGTGAAATATGGTCTGATAGGTATCGTGAAACATTTTCAGAAAAGTTTGATGTAAGTGCAGAACACTTTTATCAGATGTAAATTTGACGAGGGATGGGTGAAATATTCAGCTTTCCTTTAAACAAATGTTTGCCATTCAACTTTTTTGGAAAAAATTATGAAAAAACAACAGTTTCTGCTATATATAATTTCATATAATGGGAGCTGTAGGGTAGGGAATAGAACTTATGTTCCCCGCAATTTTAATGTAGAGGAGTTTTACTGTCAGGTTTGTTCAAATCAGTATTTCCATGCGTCTTTGCAATTTTACAATCCTTCTATCACACTTCACACTTTTTTGGATATATGATCCATTGGTACCTTCCACATAGGACTATATTACTATTTATATTATTACTTTTGGGTGAACCTCAGGTCAGCTGGGTCAAAGTCATCAAGGTTAAAAATAGCACTACTATCTATTCATTTGACTGCTTTTCTTGTTTTTGTTTCTGTTTTTGTATAGATTTTAAGTAGATCTAAATAAGCCTAAAGGCTGTGGGAATGAGATTTCCAAGAATTTCCAAGGAATCGAGGAATATATAAAAAATTATTTTAACTTCTTCTGTTATCCAAGTGTCATATCAGTGTCAATATAACCCTTAGTCTGCTTGACCCAGAAGTGCTACAGTCTTTGCCACCAGTATTAATCCAGGCTAACCTGCATATGTAGTCCAATCAGGCTCTACATGGCATTGGCAGCCAATTTTCCCTTAAAACTTTGAATGTACTGTCCCAAATTAAAAGCTGGGCAAATCCATTACACAAATTCTGGAGTTAAATTAAAAGGATTAAACTATTATAACAGTAGTGTGTTTTTTAAAATAAGATTTAGTTGAACATAATAATAGAGAAATGAGGCTTTTAAAGAAAAGGCTTGGAATAGATGAATTTAATATACGTACAAAATAATCCCCCAAAGATTCACCATAACAAATCACAAAAAGTAAAGAATCAATTTCTGAAATTAAAAATTAATACTTTAGTATAATAGTTAAATAAAGCAAAACATAAGTCTATATTTAGTATAAAACAACATTTTAAAACATTTATTTAGTCAAGTGATTCTCTTGTCAGATAAAAGATTAGGTATGTTTTTTTGAATATTAATTTTTTTTTCCAAACATTTTTTTTAACCTAAGGTACCAAAAATTACCATAAACAGTTTATTGTTGTCAGGAGATGTTTAAGAAAAAGGAAAAAAAAAAGAAAAAGATTTAATGATAAGGAAAAAAAACAAAAATAATTAAGTTACTGGTTAATTGTCTAGCTTTTTTTTTCCAGAGGACACATCAGTTAAATATATTAAATTGATTAAAAAATCAAATGTCAACACTGGTTTGAATTGCAGTGAAACACCTAAAATTGCTCAAAATAGCTTTCCCTAGGAGAATTGTAACATTGTCTTAACAAAACATAATTATTACCAGAAATAAATATATTTGTTGTGTCTTACAGGAACCATCATTGTTTGCTGTTGCTAAGTTACTGGAGACTGGTTTAGTGAACTTGTCGAGAGTGGAAATTTTATGGCGACCAGTCACAGCACATCTATTAGAGGTAAGTGGTAGAATTAATATATATAGGTGACAGGGATGTGAAAAACCAATCACTGGAAAAGACAAAAGTATATATTTACATGTATAATTATACACACACACACACACTTAAAAAAGGTAGTTCAAGGTTTCCAGTTACTTTCAGTTTTCCGGCCATTTACAGCAGCAATTATTATTTACCTATACACAGGTATATAAATAAAGTTCATCCTATCCATTTTAATTAATTTTTTGGTGCACTTACTAAGCTAATATTTTTGCAACCAAATAAAATCAAGAGTATATTGATTATAAACAATTTAAGCATACACTTCTAAATTTTATATTTTTTTCACATCCCTGTACTGTTAGGGAGTTGTCTATTTCTTTGAACTTTTGGAATTACCATAAGCAATGGCCCAGTTCTAAGGACATGTGGTATATGGGACTTAAAGAAGTCCTTCATACTCATTTTCTCAAGGCCACTGGTGTTTTATCTTAGCAAGAAATTTACCTGACATTTATTTACTTTTACTCACATGTTTGAAATGAGAATTGAAACCTCAGAGGGAGGTGTAATATTAAAATGGAGTGCCATATTATATGGGCTGCTCTTTTCAACAGCATGAAACATAGACTATATAGTGGATCTACATGCAAAAACTTGTAGATCCATGATGAATGAAAATTCTTTGGCGTAAAACTTAAGTCAATCAAATGCTTAAATGTTCTTAAATGTGTACTTAAAGAGAATTTAAAGAAGTTCTGACCTTGTTTGAAATGATGTTTCAATGTTTCAGACTGAAGCAATTGTTTATATGTCTATATATGAGTAAAGTGAAATAGAAGAACAATTTAAATCTGTATTTATTAGAGTTATTCACAAGTGCATAGAGATCAATTCCAATTGTGAATATTATCTTTAGTAAAGGGTTCTTTCAGTTTGTGAGTATTTTGCTCTGTGGATCAACCTCAGGAATTTTCCCTGTGTACAGCATAAAAGAGAGAAAACTTAAATACAAATGAAAGGTTTAATATGACAATATTGTTTCTCAATGGTTTGAAATAATACATTTTGAAAGTAGGAAAGTGTTTTAAATCTCCAAATGCTATATTTCATGTGTTTAAAATTGGCCAAAATGCTATATTAAGGAAGCTAATTTTGTGATTGTGAGTGCATTGTGGTATATTACTGTATAAAGATCAAATGCACAGTAAAATAATCACGTAAGCCCTCAATCATAAGGCCTGTGTGATCCAATTCAACATCTGAACTGTGATACCATGCAATATCATACCACAAAGCACACAAGGTTGATATATATATTCTATTCTAACACATGGTCTGGTGTGCAGAAAGGTAAAGGGAAAATACAGAAACAGTATCCAACTAAAGACAATCCTATTCTGCTGATGAATTCACCATCAACCTTTAAGTGATGTATCCTAAATATATGACCTGCAAGCTTTGTGTTCTGTTTTATTGTTGCAGCAGTGTCACAGATGTGGTTCTATTTGTTTTATTATAACAGCATTAACTTCTGTTTCTACAACTTTGAAAATGTCACCAAAAACAATAAAAAAAATGGCGCTATTTTGTCCATTGATGAGTACAAAGAAGTTGACATTTAAACATCATCTGAAGAGTTGATCTAAGAGAATTGTCTCTTGGTTTCTGTTGAGGGGTACCAATAGTCTGATTGATGGTAGTCCTGGGAAATCATTACAGTCTCCCAGGGGGCGATAGGAACAAAATTATAGCGGGCAATACTGAAGTTTGTATGTTTGTTTTGAACGCGAGAATGTACGTCATGCTATATCAGAAACATATATAACATGATAATCCTATATACCTTAATTAGAAAACTGTAAAAAGATCTTTCATGGCAGTCCCGAGGGGCGTCTAAATTATCTATATATTGCCTTCTGTCATATTTGGAATATTGCATTTTGTCATCATCGATTGTCCTTGAATATCATGACTTTTGACGTTAAGATCTTCGCCATTGTCAGCGTTTATTTTCGGAAAATTCATTTTATGATCAAAGAGGAAGTACGAGTGCTGTAACATTTTCTCGAGTGTTTGGTACTCCTACGTTATAAATAACATGAATTTAAAAATGTTTTTGAAGACCAAGCACATGTCATCTGCAAGAGACATCAGCTTTATTAGATGTAAAAAAAAGGAAAGATTTGAGATTTACATTGTATCACTGTTTTGCTAAGTTTGGCTGTTATTTCTTGTTATTTGAAAGTCTCATGCGAACAGAATTCTCGGAATTTGTTTGAAAATTACATGTAATACTATCCTTCAGATGTCAATTTTTGTTTAATTTTGTCAAAGTTACTTAACGTAATACTGCATCAAGTTTGATAAAAGTCCTAATAGATTTAGTGAATTGGTGATTGTAGTCTGTATGTAAAGATCCTGCTGGTACATTAAAAGTACATTTTGTTTGGCATCTGACGCCTCCAGCAAAAAATTTGATTTCATTTTGCATAATATTAAATGCTTACAGACTTTGTAAAGTGCAGTTTAAACATATTGTATTGAAGCTTGATTGTGAAACAAGACTAGTTCTTGCAGTACCATATGTCATATGAGAAAAACAATGATGTGTGACCCGAATAGGGCTTAAACCTAGAAAGGCAGACATTGGTGACAGGGACAAAGCTTAGGGGTCGGTCCTTGTTGCTTTAAGTGGATACAAGTATCCCTTACCATGCTGAATATCATAAATTGACTTGTTCAATCTTTCAATCCAGACATAACTATTGATCAGTTAAGGGAAATATTTAAAAAAAAAAAATGTAATACCCGACTGTACTGATTTTGCTGCTGCCTACAGGCTAAAGTCTAAAAATGTGATCTTTGTTTGTAAACATTTTGGAAATCAGCAATTCCCAGACAAAAGCTACAAAAAACATTTAACCTCATAAAAGAACAACGTCTTGTGCATAATATTATATAGTAACCACTTGAAAGAATTGCTAGTAAATGCTGTCACAACCAATGAAAAGTAATTGCCAAATTCTAGGCTTCTAAATATATATATGACTGACATTAAATTGTATTTAATCCAATCAGTAAGAAAATAATTTTTCACCACTTACAAAATGTTGACAGTAAATATTTTCCTACCCAGATGTGGTCTCTTTACTATCAGAGAGTCAGACAATAATATCCCCGTCATAATACGCCAACAACCAAAATGGCTTTCATGAAGACGGAAATTCATTTGGCAATATATATTATCACAATGTATGAGCATTGTGCTTTATGTCCTCTGAATGCTTTAATGATGAAAATAGATTGTCATGTGTGCCTGCCAATTCAATATGAAACATTTAAGCCAGTCAACAAATAAGTGGCTATAGATAGTTCTCCAGTTTTACAATATTTACCTCCCTTGCCAAAAGTGGCAGCCATTTTTCGTGTCAATATTCTATGTAATATAATTTAAAATAAAGTTTCCTTTTAAAAGGAAAGGCTTGCACAGTTGTGCCTTCATCCCAACCCTTTAAAATTGTTTTTTTTTTTTGGTTTCAATTTATTATCACATTTTTTTTTAATTACGGTATTTGTATATCATAATTAAAGGGTTTATTTAGTTGGTTTTTTTTTTTTTTGGAAAACCGAATATTTTTTGTCAAAACGATTTGAAATCTATTCTCTATTGTATAAAACTAATAAAGAAAATGATCAATCGTAAAAATACTAACGTGATACTGAAGGAAAACAAGTGTGCACATTTCATTTCCCCTTTTTTCGCAGCGAAATCATTCCTTTGCTTTATAGACAAGTAAATGCACTAAAATACTTCGTTACGTGGTACCAATTAATAAGCATGTATCAACTATGTTACACGATCACAAATAGACGATGCGCTATCTGTAGATCAGCACATGGTAAGGTTAATGATATGCATGGGCTATTTTTAGATTACCTCACCAAGAAGTTGAATTGCGTTCAGTAGATCTAAATATAACTCGATCATGCGTGATTTGGTAAGCAGGACCACCCTTTGAAGATGGAATACTACTACAGTCACCATTCTCTATTGTATAAAACTAATACAGACAAAAAACAATTATAAAAGAAACTAACTTTTGCGTCTTGAAAAACAATTGAAACGGAACAATTTCTTTTATAATTTATTACGGTTTAAACCGATAAATCAAGTAAAAATAGAAATCCTATTTATATAAACAAACTGGGATTACCGAAGTAACTAAAATAGCTTAGATTTCCGTAATATTACTTCGTCTGATTCCGCAGTATGACGGAATCGCCCGAATTGTCACGATTGCAATCGGAACTACATCGGCTATTATCATTAATCTGAAGTGTGACGGAAAAGGCCGAAAAGTTGCGATTGGCACGATTGCAGCTGGTTTCCCGTTCAATCATGCACCAACAGATGTAAGCAGGAAACCACCTAACCGGAACAAGTTTTCCAAATGAAATGGCTTGCAGCCGTGGCTGCAAGCCAAAAATATAAAAAATCAATAAAAAAAGTTGATTTACATGAAAAGTCAATTTTTTTTATACATATTATTAAAGCACCAATATGTAAAAGATTTTTTATCATATGTCAGGAAAATGATAGAATTATGAGAGAAAATGATAGAGTTATGAGAGAATTTCATCTTATCTTAAGCATATGATACATTGGGAATGACTGCCAAAATGGTGGCAAGGGGAGGTAATTAATAGTATGTGGAAATCATCCTATGCCATTGTTGCCATCATTCTATTGTCAAGCCATTGTAAACATAAGTGGTGAATATGACTGGTATGACAGCACTACCGTCAATAATAAAGCCACATCAATCTACACAGCCATGAAGTCCAAAAAGACCTTTTGTTGTTACCATATTAATACCCCTCCCCGAAACAAAATCTCACATAAATAACAGCAAGCAATTTTTATGGACAAATTTAGCACCGCAAAGGTTAGGAATCAGACACTGTTAGAAATTTTTAATGGACATTCTCTAATAGGAAAGTAGGAGCAAAAA